AAGGTTACCACTTAACGCAGTAACTCGGCCCGTATTGAGAAACACCGCATTCTCTAGCTCGTTGACTCTAGATTATTTATAGGATTTCTGGCCATCCTCTGTCATTACTGTTATTGACGTGTGACGAGCGGTCTGTGACGTAGTGTTTATTGATTGGCCGAGTCGTCCGCGGACACCCCTTCCGTGAAAATATCGACTAATCGATCTGCAACACGGGCGAGTAAAACATCGCGCGTGGGCGATACTGGTTTGTGCGCTAACTGGCTTTCCAGCCTGAAACGCCGTGACTAATTTGGCACGGCAAATGGCTTTCTCTTTTTGTCATAGGGTGTGCCGTAACAGAGACTGAGAGCCAGGCTTTAATACTTACTTCTCAATGTGACCTTGATGCACATGAGCACCAAACTACCCGTACAAAGGGTCTGGTAAATACCTTTGATAACAGGACGTGTGTATGTGTGGCATACATAGCCAGGCCGTTTGACTGTAGAAGTTATTGAATTCGAACCCACATCCGGTCGTCTAAACATTTTTTTTTCATCGGACTCCGATTGAAGGTAGAGGTGAAGATCCGGCGGTAAATGAGACGCATATCTGCCTGATCCTAAACCAAGTTTCGCGCAAGCCACCAGCGCTGCGCCTATACTGTGTCACGGAGACGAGAACCGCAATGGACACGGGACATAAGGCGAAAAGCGCACTCGACGACAGGCGCCGCGACAGGCCAAGTCAGTTGAGTCATACGCGCGGGCAGCCAGACAGACAATCAGCGGGCTCTGTTACTTCGAGCACACGTGCGGCCCATATATGCGAGAAGTTCCACGAAAGCTTGGGAGACGACCAATCAGCGTATGGCGGGCGACGGCCAGAATGTTTTATAACGCTCATCGCACGCCATTGGCAGAAATGTTCGAGAACAGCCGGAACGCTGAAAAAAATAAGCTAGAGTTCACAAACTATGAAATCCGCTGTTTTTACACGCACCGAATAAAGTTACTGGCCTTAGCGATCGGCTCGCTTGTCCTGCTTTTGTTCCAAAAAACGTCTCCGTTTTCTCGGGTGGGGGGAGTTACGAGATGTTTTAACTCGCGGAGGATTTGAACCCGTGAGACGAGAAACGAAAGAAGATGAAGGAAATGATCTCACGAGTTGAGGTGAATATTCGGATACCAGGTGTGTGTATAGGTAGTGAAGAAGGAGAAGAAGGCACGTCGATCCCCGGAATCATTATTTTACTAGTCTGAGCTTTCGAGCTCTTGCTGGAGTCCGCCGTCAGTGATAAAAGCGTCATGTGAGTCCGCCATGAGTCAACGGGGCATGCTATCTAGTGACGAACGGTATGCGCATTGAAGTTAGCGACTCCCCGCCAAAAAAATCAATTTATGCAAAACTAGTTCTACGCCCGAGGAATATGTAGATTTTTACAGCTTTAGTATTTACCAGGGTTTACGTAGAATGCCTATAAAAGATAACAGTAATATCACATGTCAGCAGGAAATCTAAGTAGCCCTTGGAATTTGCAGGTGGGGTACTATTGCACTCCGTCCGCAGAAAACCTGGTGTTTTGCTTCCTGATAGGTGGCATTGCAGAAACGATCTAAACTGCCTACATTTGGGTAAGTCGAAATTTCCAGAAAACTCATTTGTTATTCCTAAGAAAAGAAGCAGACACTGATTTAAAAAGAAACGGACGGAGTGTGTGTTTTCGCGTCATTGGAGCTTTCTGAACTCAAACATGAGCCCAGATTGCTTATTCTATCAATTGAATAAAGTAATTTTTCTCATTTAAGGTGGAACGTTTGGCATAAAAATTAGCATGATGATGAGGATAACCAGCAATAATGTTACATTTTACTATAATGACGAGGTTTTTCGCGGTAAAGGAAATACCGACTGAATTGACACTCCCCACAGAGGCAGCTCTACGTTTATTCACAATTTAAATAAGTTCGGTGCTGTGAACGAGAGCGTATGTCGCAAGTGCTAGTGTCGACATGAAGAAGGTTCTCCCAAATCACAATTCGGGTAAGATAGTGTTGGTAGCAAGAGTTTAAGTGCGCTAAAGGAACCTTACAATATCTGCTGCCAAGGGCTAGCTGAGTCCGTGAAAAAGTGTACTGTTGTGAAGCCTTGCCTACCGTGATGTATGCTTTCTCGCCCGCAACCAATAAAATGAAGCAGAAGTATCAATTGACTTTGAGCTTACAAACTTATCAAGCAGCGAGTCAATCGATTGAGTTAGAAAGGCGGATAGCACGCGGAGTGGATAATTTGTCACACGTGAACGTTAGTCATGGCAGATGAGGGTAGGATGAGTCAGCGTATTTTCCCTGGGCGGCAGACTCCTAAACGTACACACAGAGTACACCTAAACTGATGTCGTAAATTACCATACTAACAGCCTAGGTACTAGCTAAAAGGCCCACACACGTCTTTCGACCGTATTCTGCCGCGGTTTGACAAAACTGCGAGGGATCCGGCTAATCAGTGGGTCCCCCAGCTTTTCCTGTCTGCTTTTTGGTTAATATACCCGTTTTGAAAGTTCAGCTTTTTAATCTCCTGAGAAATTAATTTCTGTTCGCGGTATATATCAGTGTATTTAAGGTCTATAGGCGTAGACCGAAAATGGAAGTGTATATTCGGGTTGAAACCCGTCAATCACTATGAAATATCAACTTGCTGCCGACAGACAGACTTTAGTATTATAAAGTGATGTTGTAACTCACTATACTAACAGCCTAGGTACTAGCTAATATACACTTAAAATTTCAGTCTACGCCTATAGATCTTAAACATACTGTTATATACCGCGAAGAGAAATTAATTTCTCAGGAGATTAAAAAACTGAACAGAGTACACCTGTCTACTTACCGCTAGTGACGCCTAAGTTCATTAATTTCATGCACTCATCCTAGACACGCAATCCAAAAACACGTACTTTTAGGCTACCCGTGGTTAAACAGTCATACAGTTCCATCATGACCTGTTTATAGGTAACATGACAGGCAGAGAGCTCGGTAGAGAAAGAAAAAACAAATTGACTCTGAGCACGCTCATGGCGTGTCATAGAGGGTCTAGAGGTTTTTTTTCTCAGTACCACAGATGGAGAACAATAGAAATGTGTTAAATCTACCTGCGTATCCGCTAACCTGAATAAGGCCTCCTTTCTCCTAACTGATGTTTATTAATCAGGACAAGCTGAAATGTTTGTTATCCAGTAATTAATTGTTGCTTTATTTCCTCTTGCGCAATGTAAACCGTTTGAAGCCTCTAGATAACGAAGGGATATTAAACGCTTTCGTTCCAAACAACCGACGGTAGTCCCTGAAAAGACGTAAACTGTCAGGAGCCTTCATGTGCCACGTTCAAAAAAGTCTCCATCGATTACTGCTGCATGCCTGATACGATATATGGATTTCAGTTTGTACACAGGGTAAAACACTGTCGATTTTTACTGAATAAATATTCCCGTGTTTAACTTGGCAATAACCCTATAACCACCGTTTTTGTAGGACAACATGCTGGGACTAGGGGTAAATGAGGGAGGCTACATAAGCTACTATTGCCTTTAACTTGAAACGTCTGTTTGTTAAACATATGTTTTCGGCAATTCATCATCGGTTCAGTGCAACTGCGAGGTTAAGCGAGTAATGACGATCGATAATTCCGCCCCACGCGTGACAAAAAGCCCCAAGTCCAGACAAGCCACGTAAAGCAGCCACATTAGAACGAATTTCGCTGCCTACGCCACCAAGCGAAGAAGGATGGCAAATGGTCGGTGGTCGGCTAATGATACCACAAATGACACTATTTGAAGGGTAGCCCGTACCAGTTAATAAATACGAACTTAAACAAAAGGTGGATGAATTTGAGTTCACGAAGTGGATAAAAAACACAATAACTATAAAATATTGCGTAGAAATAAAAAATATGGCAAAGAGCCACAGGGCTACCAAAAAAGCTTGCATTCTGCTTTCCCGTGGCCCACCAAACTGCCCCACCCCTCAGGTGGTAGCGCAATCACTGACAGAGTTCCAAATCCAATGACCAACTTAAAGCATGTTCAAGGCTCATTAAAGCCGATCTAAATCGGCTTATGACATACAGATGACAACGTACACGCCCGAAAATGTCATTTAAGAGTATCGTTTTCTGCAGGAGTTTTAAATTGACAACCCCATGACCTCATGACCCCACGCCAATACTTGCAAGATCTCTAGACTCCAGAGGAAGGCAAATGGTCTGCATCCTGCCCCGCAATCAGACTGAAACGGAGTACGCCGAATATGCTTGACCGTGTGCACACGTCTGAAACTGTATAAATTCCTAGCCTTTACTTAACTGACCCACCTTTAACTGTCATGTCTCTCTTGACTGGCGAATGGTGCAACGTAGATAGGATCTTTTAGCCCACTCTTTTTCCATGTTTCTTTTGGTGGACTTCATTAACAAAATTTATTTTCATGACCGATTTTTGTTCACCTCAAGTTCGCATGCCCAGTACGAGGATGTCCCCATGTCTCGTCCCCTTGAAAATAATTGGATCCTTAATGCAGATTCTCTCTTAAGGTACACATCTCCTTGCTTACAGAGACGCGATCATTTGTGATTTGTTGTTGCTGGAAATCTAACAGTACGACTGTGAAACGACAAAAAGAACACGAAAATAAAGAATAACTTATGTCGGTGTAAAGACCGAATCACTTTTTATGAGAATATTTTGTGATATTTGTCATGGGGGGACAGAATGGAGTTCTGAAAGAGTAAAAACTAACCGATAATGGGTTACTCAGGCACTTAGCCCTGACCGACTTAACCAACTAACCGGAGAGTGATCAAATCAATGCACCAGAACGGGGGCAACTTCTATTAAGTACAGCTTCAGCTTCGAAAGCTACGGATAAGCCAAGGACTGGGATTAAAAACGGAAGTCACCTCTTTATGGCTAATTAATCTAAAATTGCCTTCTTATTTCCATTTTAGGGGATTCGACCAACCAATTTTACCACCTCATCGAGTATCACCGAAGTTAACAACACCTTGAACCAAACTTGGGTCTTTCGGGTGTACACGCGAGCGACCTTCAATGCAACCTCGGTGAGTGTTTATTGGCAGGCATTCTACATTTCTTCTCGTTGTACCATAACCAAGCTTGGAGCTTTAACTATGAAATACCTACCTAACATGGAAATATTGTGATTAATTTTAGACGGATTATATAACAGTAGACACCAATGGTCAAGTTGCACAAAGTCTACCCAATCTTAAGGCCGACCCAACGTTTGACCAGTTACTTGATGCGGCGCGGCAGTCGACGTTTAGAGTTGGCATCCAACGGGTAAGTATTTGGCTGTCGCATTTGCAATTTATTATGAACCAATTCAACTGTAAGTATACTTCTTATTGTCCGTTTTCGGTATAAATTGTAGATTAGTTAGGTTTATTTGAGGCGGATGTAGCCGTCTGACTTGGAATTATCTGT